CTTCGCTCCCCACCTGATCCTTCCAACGCAAATCTTTCTATTTCTCAGTATTTTACCTTTCGTATGACTAGAATTCGAGTACCGATGTGACCTACAACAGATATTAAGATAACTAAATTTTTTTATTACGGTCACCCTGCAAAAAATCTCCACCACTGCGTGTGTACTTCTGAGATGAAGTAAAAGCTCCACATAAAAGTCTATCGTCTATGCGGAGGCGGCTTAGAATAAACTATAGGTCCCACCGTATGTTCGAATGATATCAAGACACACGACACAAGTTAAAAGAGAAGCTCGGTTAAAAATAACTTCAGCGCTCACTAAATGGCATTGATAACACCCTCTTGATAACAGTAATAATAACAATAATGTCGTTCGGTCATGTGCGGTATTTGATGTTGCCACTCGGGACCACAGAGATTTTGCACAAACTTCTTCAATCGAAAACTCCCAAAGCAAACACAACGATTTTACACGATATAGAAAGACAGGTATGATGAATGACTTGTAGAGCTTTTTTCTGTTTGCCCAGAGAGGCTCTTGCTCTTCAATTGCTTACTCAGTTGTATTTCAAGATCCTCTCTCAACGCATTGAAACCAAACTCTACAAGTCACACAGTGCATATACGGTGCAGCAGCGTTGGCGATGTCTACAACTGATACGGCGGTCTTGGGAGTCTTTCGAGAGAAAAACTCTTCGAACGATTTATGGTTCTTTGCGTATGGGCAACGTATAACGAAGCAAATACCGCAGATGATCGAGCGATGAGCTGTACGAATTATACGCTGGCTAGGCGATGTCATCCCTATCAATGAAAGTGCTTCAGGTCAGTATTCGATATAAAACTCACCGTTGGAAGCAGGTGCAGTGGAATACCTTAACTCCGTTGGTAGGATTAAGTGGAGAGCAGTCACGGCGGAAAATCGCTACAGCGGTTACAAAGCGCCAATTATATATATATATATATATAAACTGGTTTCACTTGATATTTTTAACTGACGCCAAACAGCGAAGAGAACAAACAAAGGTCACGTTCTAACAAGTACAAGCATATTAATTGAAAACTGCATTCGTGTGAACTTTGAGCTGTTCTTTTACACTTTACAAACATTCTGCACCCTCCGAGTGCTGCTACTTTTATTGTTAAGTTTTTAATTTTTTTTTATTTTTTTGGATTTTTTGCCGTTTCTCTCAGTTTTATGCTTGTTAATAAACTCACTCTTACGTTTTTCTGCGTTTTAAATGTGCTGTTCTTATTTGCTGAGGTTTTCAACTGCGGCAGCAGCAAACTTTAACTTAACTTAACAACTTAGCCTCTTGCATGCACAACGTCCTTCACAGGCACTTTGGCACACCCACCATTACCGTCAAGTGGTCTTTAAGTCGAGTGAAACACGTCTTAACACCCACACTATTGGACACGTATACACTACACTTACAAACCTAAGAGCCTACATATTTCTATGTATGTACTTGTATTTACTTTCACACACAAGTCTGTCTGTAGTTGGCGCGTTGCCATGCACTTCGCCTTCTACGCTCCCACTCGTGCATTCTCAACACCCAGTTAAAGCAATTGAATTTAATGCGTGTAATGAAGAAGGTGAGATAATTACACACATAAATACATGTGTTTCGAGGAAATCTTTTAGTAAAGCGCAATCGCTCATTCGCACGTTTTAATGTAGCCAATTATCGAGGGAATATGAATTATGTGAGGGTTTAGTGATATAATCACGCAAAGGATTTCTGGGAATTTACTCCTTTCGATGACTGAGGAGGCACTCATTTACGATGACTCCATTCGCAATAATTTTAACTCAAACCAACAAAAATCTATTGGAGCACTCAGAGCACTGTAGGACTCCCACATTCTCATAGAAGTCGGATGCCATTCTTTTGAAGAGCGCGTTTACTTCTTGGATGACCGTTTCCTGTAGGTTTCCTACCGCTGAAGATGGCTGTGGAACTATGATCCAGAGCGGTTGTATTTTCCCACTCGCTTCTCTTTGAGATTTTTGTTGAGAAAGTGTTGTAGAAACAGTAAACGGAATTGGTGTAGTCCACCTCTTCCGGGAGTGGTGTAGAGTTTAAAATTTAAGCATATTTGAGCTTTCGATTTTTCCTAACCACGGTAAGCTCTGTGCAAGACGTGGGCACACCGCAGTGTTTCTTGAACAAGCAAACTGTTAAACTATTGTCACTACCTACCGAGGGGCGACAGCATAGATGGAGGGCTCGATTGAGTGGCATAAGTTTTTATTTATCTGTCTGTCGCTGAAATACAATAACAAATGCATTTTATAATTATCAAAAACAACTTGACACCGATGGTTAGCTCCAGCATGAGACAACGATAAACTATCTCTCTTAAGCGTACGAGAAGCATGCCAACATAACTCCTTCATAGAGCTTCAAACCAACCACCATAACATGTCACTGCCCTCCAAAAGGAATGTGAAAACGTACACCAGCAGCCCACAGTAGGCTTAATCACTTGTTAAATGACAACGGCAAAGCAATAATTTAGCCAATCTGATGTTGAAATGAGCAATAAACAATGAAGTACATCCAATGCAGTTCGAAGACCAAAATATTTGCTCTTGGCGACACTAAATATTGAACATATATACATATATATATAAATATATATATATAGACACTGATAAGATTAATATGTACCAATATTCACGACTGTCATCAATTTGTCGCTTCCAGAGCAAGCAAAGATAGTTATAAAAAACCATCTATTGTTTATGTGTATGTATGTGTGTTATACGGATTAAAGCTTTAACACGCATTGACCTCAAATGATTAACCGATAAGGCGTTTGTATCATACAACATGTGTATACATACATACTTACATACATACATATATACTAATATATGGTTGTACGCTGAGTCAGCATGTCGACATGCCCCGAGTTCCACAATATCCCCAGCAAATAATTGACAACTTAATTTATAGGCGTTGACGCAAACGGAAAAGAACAGAAGAGCAGAAGAACATAACATTCCCATATATTGGGCAAATAATCACATTGCAACATATACTTAAATGTATATAAATATACATATAAATATAGCACAGAAGAGAAATAGTCTCATAAGAATTTGAGAAGGAATGAAATATGCATATGAGGGCTTATCGTCTTAGAATTTGCGTGTATCTATAAATATATGTATATATATATATATATATATATGAAAATGTAGGGTGCACAGATTATTGCATACCTAAATAATTAGTTTATGACCTTAAAGGAATTCAAAACAATTTTTTTCTGTGCGCATTTTTATATTATATAAGGCTCTTATAGTACAACAGTGCGTATACGTAACTAAAATAATTCACTTGAAAAATTTAATACAAGTTTAATCATCCACTAACTTTGAATGGCGTAAGAATATTAATAAATAGTTAAAGAAGATTATGTAAAGCATTTAATTTATGAAGAAAAAAATATGTATACATTATGGCATGTCACACAAGACAGTCATAGATATTGAACAATATGCAAAAGAGCTTTTGATGAGTACTGAAGAACTTCTCCAGAACTTCTTCTTCTTCTCTTTTAACCCACATAATCTTTAAGTTAAAGATGATTTTGTCAATTCAACCTCGAAATTCGACGCAGAATCATTCGAGCCATTAAGTACTACTTTGGACTGTGTGGATATTGGAATAGAAGAAGTACAAAAACAAAGTAAAAAGATCGTGCAGAGTTTTGGTTTATTTATAGTCAACTGCCTAAGAGCTCAAAGAACTCGGTCCTTGAAAATTTAGTGCTCGCCGAAAGCCAAGAAAGTAGAAGAAGAGGGAAAACTCAATTTAGATCATCTGTCACGATGAGGTGTAGAACACAGCGTCTACGTTGTGTAGCTCATATCATACAGGTAGGGGAGAAAACTCAGGCTTACAAAGATCAGTGCCTGCCGGATGCTAAGGAAGTGGATGAAGAGCGAACCTAGATAATTTTCAATAGCGAGAGAGTAAGTGAAGTGGAATTCAAATTCAGTTAGTATCCCCAATTGCCGCCGAGCAGCGTATGCTAAAAACTGCTAAAGATTAAAACCAACGTCACGCTTCTTCCTCGAAGGCAAACACCATAACTTCGTGCGTGGGCTTAGGTTTATCACTAATCAGTTTTATCCTGTATGGTGATAGCCATTTTGCCATAGTCGGCTGCTGGAAAACATGAACCAAGAACTGGTGCATCCATCTTCCGCTATTACAGGATATAATCCGCTACGTGTCCATTGAACGCTTCGCAGCTAGGTTGTAATAACGACACCTTTTCGACATCAGCCGGCCTCAGAGAATAGCGGTGGCCTTACGCAGACTACTGCTGACCGCTTCGGCGGAGAGATATTTAAATGAAAGCTAGAGTCCCTAAGAGTGTACTGACCAACGGCTTCGACGTCGATAGCGTAGCCTCGCTAAGTTGTGCAAGGTAAAGATAACTTTTAGTCAGCATTGAAGAAGAAATCGTGGTTATTGTGGACGGCACATCGAGAAATAGGGATCCAAAGAAAGCAGTACAAGACGACGTGCCATTAGATATAACTCAGAGACTCGGTACGCTACTCGATCCAACATCCTGTGAGAGAGCGCCTAAGCGCCTTAAACAAAAGTTTCGCATAGCACGATAGTACGAAGACGAGCACTAAGCAGCAACCAACTATATCCAATAGCATTGAGGTGAAATATCAAAAGGGCGAATTCAACCTCTTTTATTTCATCTCAGATTTGTGGTGGGTCGTTCGTTCTTTAATATGGTTTTAATCGAAAAAAAGCTGATTTTCACTGCCATATCTTGAATCGAAATTGGCTTATTTTCAGACAATTTTAGATGTATATTTTTTTAGACACTAACGCACACCCTAATACACCCGTCTATTTACTGATGAATCTATATATATATGTACATAATGATTGGTGAGCAAACACAATAATAATACTATTTTTCACACTTTTATATCCAACTCGTACTTACCCTGAGCAAATTGTATGAATTTGCAAAAGTATTCACCAAATATGAAATTCCTCAACAACGTGCCCACCAATGTGACCGGCATACAGACGACACCGAGTAATATATCGGAACATGCTAAATTCAGCAGAAAGAGATTTGTTATCGTACGCATACGACGATTTTGTATTAATGTCGAAATCACCAACAAATTGCCAATTATGGCAAAGAAGAATATGACACTGTAGGCGAGTATAAGCCAAAATGGCACATCTGTGGTTACGCGTGGTTTTGTCGATACAATCACAAGTCCACTGTGATTGACCGCACGTACAAATTCATCCACAAGAAAGTCGCTTGCATTGAGGTATGTGGTATTTGTGGTTGTATGTGTGACAATGCCTAGATAATGTGGTGTGGTATCATTGTCTTCAACTCCACCGACTACTGCTGTTGTTGTTGCTGTTGCTGTTGTGTAAATATTAAACTCTGACAATGCATTTGTTGGCACACCGCTATTACCGAGCAATGTCTGCTGGGTATCATTAATTTGTGTTAACGCAAGCGAGATGATATTATTTGCCGCTGATTCATTGGCGAAAAATGCAAGTAATTCGCCGTATTCACTTGATGTAATCGATGACATGTTGGGTGGAAGCAGCAGCGTTACGGGTGTGCGTTGTATAGTCTCGTAGAATTGGATTTGTTTTACAGCTGATCGGAAGTTTACATTAAAGAAATATTAATTTTTGTAACTTTGGCCTTTGTGGCTGTTTTTTTTCTTTTTTTTTGTAATTAAAATTGCAATGTTTAATTTTGAGAATTGTTTAATTGGCTTTATTTTTATTGTTTTTATTTTTTCTTATTTTTCATTATATTTTTTTTTTTTGATATTATAGACTTGAGACACTCCAATATATGTGCAGATGTGTACTACTGTTTTATATTGACAAAATCACACAAATAATAGCATTGATATTTTTTTTACACATTTATGTATAACATTTTTGAATTACTTATTTGTTTAAATTTTTTACTTTTTTGGATTTAAAATATTTAAATTTTTTTTATTCATTTGGTGTCATTTACTTCATTTTTAAATTATTTCACACATTTTTTTTAAGAAGTTTCAAATTTTATTCCAAATTTTTCTTATTTGTCTTAAAACTTGGTATTAAATATAATTTTTCGAAAATTATTTATTTAAAACCTATTTTAAAAAATTCATACATGAAAAACACTAATTTGTTTTTTTCTTTTACTTATTTGTTCATTTAATTATTTTGTGTGAGCCATAGAGTGTTCCAAGTGGCTTACACCATCTAGGTATCGGCGTGCTACAGCCATTGCTGCTGCTGCTAAGCGTCTAAGCAAGCAAACGTGCACACTTTTGTGCATCTTACTAAACCCCTCAAGATACTCTAGGTTTATTGCTTCACTGTCCATCAGAGAAATGCACTTATACATATAAACAAGCATGAGTATACATATGTATATAGACACGTACTTACATACTCGTATATGCATAAGTACATTAAATGACAGGAAATAAAAAGCTAATATCTTAAAGTATGTGCGGGCTGCTCGCTAAACACTTATTTACAAACAGATATTTATTTCTTTATAGTTATTACTTAGTTTTAATTTCTATTAATTTATTTAATTACTTATGCTTTTTTCTTAGTTTATTTTGCCATTGTTTTTATGTATTTATTTGTTTTTCATTTATTAATTTATATATCACATAAAAAAAGATATATTTATTTTACTTATTTTGTATTTATTTACTTATCAGTTTATTTATATATTTTTTTATTTATTTATTTGTGGTATTATATTTATTTACTGAGTTTATTTATTAATTTTTTATTATTATATATATATAATTAACTATTTTAATTTTTATTTTTTTTTTATTATTTATTTATTTATGTACTTATTCCTTCATTTTTTTATTTTAAATATTTATATATTTATTTTATTTTATTATATATCACTATATTTATTTATTTATTTATTTTTTTACTTATTTATTTATTTATTTATGAATTCATTTATTTATCTCTTTATTTATTCATTTATTTCCTTATTTATTTATTTACTTATTTCTTTATTTATTTATTTTTCTATTTATTTATTTATTGATTTAATTTTATTATTTATATTTATTCATTTATTTCTTTAGTTATTTATTTTTTTACTTATTTATTTATTTATTTGTTTATTTATTTATTTATTTTTCTATTTATTTATTTATTTATTTATTTTATTTTATTATTTATCACAATATACTTATTAATTTATTTATTTATTTATATATTTATATTTTTATTTACTTGTTGATTTATTTACTCAATACTTTATTTATTTCTATTTATTTTTTTATTTTTTATTTTTTATATGTTAATTTATTTATTTTATTTTATTATTTTTCACTATATTTATTCATTTATTTCTTCAGTTATTTATTTACTTACTTATTGCTTTTCCTTTATTTATTTATATTAATTTGTTTTATATTTCATTATTTATATATTTACTTATTTATTTTATTTAATCATTTGTTCACTTATAATTTTTATTTAATTTTTTACTGTTTGTTATTATTCATTATTTATTTAGTTATTTAATTATTTATTTTTTATTTACATATCTTTTATTTATATCCTTTTCTTTTGTTTTTATTTTAAATTATTTATATATTTGTTTATTAATTTTGTTTTATTATTTTTTAATATATTTATTCATTTATTTCTTTATTTATTTATTCACTTACCTATTCCTTTTCCTTTATTTATTTCTCTTAATTTTTTTATATTTTATTATATATATATTTATTATTTATTTTTTATTTATTTGTTAACTTATTATTATTTTTATTTAATTTTTTATTGTTTTTGATTATTCATAAATTATTTAGTTATTTAATTATTTATTTTTTATTTATTGATTTGCTTATATTTCTCTTCATTTTATTGTTTTTTGATTGTAATATATTATTTTAGTCTTATTCATTTATTTACTTTTGTTAATCTTTATCTAATTATTTATCACCATATATATATATATATATATTCATTTATTTCTTTATTGTTTTTTGTTTTCAATTATCTATTTATTTATATACCTCTTATTTATTTATATATTTTTTTATTTGTATATATTACCATATTATTTACATATATTTTTAGTTTATCGATTTTTATTTATTTATTTGCTTATTCATTTTATTATTTTTTTATTATTTTATAATTTTTTAATTTTAGTTTTGAATTTTTTGCTCCTTTTATAAATTTTTTGTTTGTTTTTAAATTTTAATTATATATCTTTATTATATTTATTAAGTACTTATTTTTAAATATATTTATTTCTTAGTTATTTGATTATGTATTTAATAATTCTATTAAAAATAATTTTTTTGTCTATTTAAATGTTTTCTGCTGCAGATATTTATTTTTTAATTTCGGATTTGTTTATTCATTTATTTCTTTATATATTTATATATTTATTTAATTATATATTTATTTGAGCTTCTTTCGTTTATATATGTTTTTGGTTTTCTTCATTGTTTAGTATATATTTTTTGCACTTTACTTCCATCTTTGCATCAGCAGTATGGTTTTATTATATTATATTATATATAATTTCTATTTTGCAAACATTTCCGAGAACTTTTTGAAAATCTTCCTTTCCATGATTTCTCATCATAAATGCTTTTTTATTTTTTTGACGTTTTGTTCCACATAAATATATGAAAAATCCGCAGCAAACTCCTCGTGCAATCGGTAGCAGCATTTTAATTTTATCATTTTAATTAATGAATTTAAATGAATAAAAGATTTTGTTCCCAATAATTTCTATTGCAATTTTTTAATATTTTAATTAATTTTCTTTTCAGTTTTGAGCTAAATATTAATTTATTACTGGAAGTATTTTGCTTTGAAAATTTTATGGCGATTTAAATATATTTTATCGTTTTGTTTATTTTTTTCTTTTTTTCGTTTTTTTTTTTATTTCATTTCACTTTACTTTTTTCTAGTTTGCTTATTCCCTTTAAAGTATTGGCAGACATTTTTTTAATAAGTTTAATTTGAAAAAAGCATGTATTTTATATATATAAATATATATATTATTTATTTTTAATAAAAATACATTTTTCTATTAATTTTTTATATTTTTTTTTTAGTTTTTTCAGTCAAATAAACACTGCAAAAGATTTTTAAACTTTTCGTATTTTCTATATTTTTGAATTAGATACTTTTTAGTACTTTGTGCAAAAATCTATATGCCTTTGAATGTGCTAATTCGATTAAATAAGTTTCGATCATTAAAAATTAATATTTAATTCTATTTTTTTTCTGGCATAATAAGACTTAATTTGATATTTGGTGTAGACATTTTTTGTGCTTTTTAGATAAAACATTTTTTTTTTTTAAAACTTCTTTTATAATATTATAATAAATATTATATATAAATAGAATTTAAATATTTTATTTTCCTTAAAATGTTTCATATTAAATTTTTATAAATTTTTTATTTAATTTAGTTTTTTATTTTTTATATTTTTTAAGAACACCAAGGTTTCAGTTCAACATTTTTCCAATACCTTTATTTTGCACATTTTCCATTCCCCAATTGCAGCGACTTTCTCTATCTTTTAGAAAAAAAATTAATTGCCTTTAAAAAAATAATTTTTTATCAATTTTTTTTTAGGTTTTCAATTAACAGGTTTCTTTGTAGAAAATATTTTTCTAACAGGAAACTATTTTTTGATAATGTTTGATATCGTTTTCACTTTTTCGTATTATTGAATAATCTAAAAATAATTTCAAAAACTTTTATTTTACTTTTTCGAATCTCAGTGGGCATAAAGTGAATTTAAATACACGCATTGCTTTTATGCCGTGAGTAATTAAAGCCACGTGGGAAATTATAATAATTATTAAACACAATTAGACCGGAGGTAATATAATTATGTCAATCAAATGAATATACCATAGGAAAGTTTTTATAAAAAATTTATTATTATAAATATGTATAATTAGCGCGTTATAAATGCCGAAACAATTTCATTTTTTATTTTAAATTTTTAGCGTGTTTACTATTTTTTTTTTATATTTTTAATTTTTCAAAATTGAGTATAAATTCACTTTATTAAATAACTCTTTACTTTATGTATATTATTTGATTTAACTAATTTTAAATATAATTTTGTATTTTTAAAAAAAGAAAAATATCGTAAATTTTGTTTCATAATCCTTTAACACTTTCACACCTCAAATCCACTAAAATTGTATCACTCTATTACAGTGCTTAACCAGCGTAGCAGACTTTACCAACTTGCAAGCTCACACATTTGACTCTGTTCAATCAAACAGTCAACATTTAAATGTATCACTTTATCACTATAGAAGCGTATATTCTCCTGAATGCACCCATTCACATAAACGCGTCGCCTTGGACTAAACACTTCACGCGTGTGTTTGCTGGTATAAACCATACAAAGCGACGATGGAAAGCAGCAGCAGCATCCTGCAATTGTTTCTTATTTCGGCTTTGAACAGCTGGTTTCTTCGTGGTAGAACCGGCATTCGTTGGACGCAAAGAAATAACAAGCAAAGCAAAGGTTTTTAATGAATGAAAACTCATTCCAGTAGCAACGCATGCTTAAGCTTTTCACCACGACCAACTGTAAATTGAAATGGGGTGACTTTAATAGATAACTCTGTGAGACTTTAAATGTTAACTCCTAGACGGGTGTAGATAAAAAAGTTTTTATCTCTCTAACTATGGTATTATGGAAGGATAAGAAGTTATAACGATTTATTCATTTACCTTTGTCCTTGCTAAATTGTATAACAGTTAAATAACTGTTATAAGGGTATCTAGATAATGTATCTGCAATAATTATATGAATAGTATAGTTTCTAGTTTCTCAAAATGCAACACAATTTTATTGGCAACAAAGTAACTTGTCAAATAACCGTTATATTATAACAGTTAAAAAAACTGTTATAGAATTATCTAGACAACGTGTCTTGTATAATTATAGTAAGCATATATCCTAGTTTTTGGAAATGCAACAACAATTTATGGGCAACAAAATAACTGTTCGAATAACCGTTTTATTATAGCTAAATGTACAGTTATACCTTATTTCGTCTAAAATTCATGCTATAAAACTAGTTATCCTTCCCTTTATCTAGGTTCATTTAATTATTAGTTAAAAAAAAATATTTATTTATTTTTTATTCATTTTAGTGTTTTCTTATGGTTTTAAATATTTATTTATTTATGTATTTAAGTATATATTAATACATATTTTAATTTTCCATTTTAGTTCCTTAAATTTATATACCTACTACTTTTTTATTTATGTGCTTTTTTTAAATTTAATTATTTCTTTTTTCATTTATTTATTTTTTCATTAATTTTTATTCATTTTAGTGTTTTCTTTTGGGTTTAAATATTTATTTATTTATGTATTTAAGTAAATATTAATACATATTTTAATTTTCCATTTTAATTCCTTAAATTTATATACCTACTACTTTTTTATTTATGTGCTTTTTTTAAATTTAATTATTTCTTTTTTCATTTATTTATTTTTTCATTAATTTTTATTCATTTTAGTGTTTTCTTTTGGGTTTAAATATTTATTTATTTATGTATTTAAGTAAATATTAATACACATTTTAATTTTCCATTTTAATTCCTTAAATTTATATACCTACTACTTTTTTTATTTATGTGCTTTTTTTAAATTTAATTATTTCTTTTTTTATTTATTTATTTTTTTCATTAATTTTTATATTCATTTATATATTTTTATTTGTTTTTTTAATTACTTATGTGTTCTTAAATAGTTTTTTAAATATTTATTTCTTTATTTATTTATTTTTTTTTTTATTTTTTAATACTTATTTTTATATTTATTTAAGCATTTATAAAATAATTTATATTTTTATTTTCCATTATAATTCCTTATTTACCATTTATTTATTTACTTTTTATTATTTTTATATCTATACTTAAAAATTTATGTCTTTTATTATTTATTTCTATAATTTTCATTAATTTATTTTTACTTCTTTTATTATTCATAATTTTTGTATATATACTTTTTTAAATATTCATTTTTTTATAATTTCTTATTTTCTTTTTTACTTCTCAAATTTCTTTTTTACAATTTAATTTTAATATTTAATAGATAATATTTTTTAAAAGCTGACTGTGGTGTATAACTTTTATAGATTTTAAAGCAGCGCTTTTGGCTACGAGTTACTAGTCAAAACTTAAACCTCTGTGGAGCTTTTAATGCTTAAACAATATTTAATAATAAAAGCTTAAGGAGTCAGTTAGTAAGCGGATGACCTCTCTGGTTTTTAAAGCTTTGGTCATAATTGTGGACTCAAAAAAAAAGTCCCAAAAAAGCTTTCCCTTAAATTCCATACTCAAATGTTGAGCTTGCGGAATAAATTTAAATAAGGGAAAAATTATATTTTAGTCACTAAGTAGCAGTTCTGTCCGAAAGGACATTGCTGACCGTGCCAAGACATAAATAGTAAGGCTGTTAAGTTTTCTGTTAGTTAAAAACTTTTGAAGTTTATCGACATCTTTGCAGATAATGAACCATTCATCTGTATAAAAAAGCTTCTTGGAAAAATTCACAAGAAGTTGAGGAGCGTTGAATCCTTCAGATAAATTTTGAAAAAACAAATATATTTTTTCGTTTAAAAACTTTATAATAATATTTAGTTTTTTTTTGAAATTCTTAAGAAAAAGTAAAGCTTTTTTCGCTCTTCAGCTTATTTGGATACGCTTCAAAGATCTTTATATATCAAAAGACATGACAAACAAATTTTATTTTTAGACCCAGACGGATATTTTTGCAGAATTATTGATAATTTAGATTTAATTCAGGTTACAAAAGCCGAGACGAGTCTTAATTTCAATAGTATTTTAGTTACATTTCTACAAAAAAAAAATTCAAGGAATTTCCGTCGCTTTCCTTATAAATGCCTACTGAACTTTAAGCTAAATTTTTCTAATGATTTTGGTCTAGTTCCATGCTAAGTAGAGCTTCTGAAGCTTAAAACATTTAGTACAAAGGAAAGTAGAAACAGCCTCTTATAGAAAGCTTTTTTACGTAAGTATGCTATGTAAATATATACAAGCTAGAAACTGGTAGCTCTGTTTCGACTTTTATTCACACATATATTACATAACAACATCTTACAGCTGAAAACAGCATAAGAGCTTTTATTAAGCCGCTGAGTTGGAAGGATTACAAATGTCTTAGATACCTCAAGCTTTCCATTGTCACTCTATAAAAGTCATTTGATGTAAAAGTTCAATGTAGTATAAATCTCTACTAAGCTTTAGAACTTTGCAAGGCTTTGAAGTTGTGCTGAGAAAAGCTGACAAGGTGCCTACTCCGTAAAATAAAACATTTTTCTTTTTTACATTTATTTATATACTTTTCGCTTTTGACAAACTCCCCACATTTTTTGCGCCATCTCGCTCAGAACTCTCACCATTCACAAACAGCTTTTCTCTATATGGTCGCACATAAGCTTTATAATAGAAATCCCCGAAGAGTACCAACATCACCACCGCCTGTATGATGGCAAAGAGCAAAGCGACAGTGGGGTATTCACACTCCGCATCGAACAGAGCGCGCACAAAATGTATAAATAAAATTAAAAATTGTAAAATTTGCGCTTGTGTAATGTGTTTCTTCCACCACAGAGACTGCTTCAATTCTGGCCGCAAAACCGATATGAAATAATAAAAATACATAATACTGTGTACCGTTAAATTAAGCACCGCCAATATGGCACCATGACCACCAGGTAAATAACGTAGAAATACAAATGTAGACACCGTTATCATAATATGATGATAGACATGGAGAAAGCTCACTTGCTTATAACGTTTACGCAGCACAAAGAATACAGTGTCGGCGAAATCGGCAATTTTTAGTAAATAATAAGCATAAGAAAAATTCAACTCCACCATGCCGGCTGGACTGCGTTTCACCACAGGCAACATGCAAGTCAAGCGATCATATGGTTTATGATACCAAACAAAATAGCAACCCTGTGGTAATTAAAAGTAGTACATGAGTGAAAAATATTAAATTACGCTTTTGTATGTATGTATGGATGTATGTATGTCATTTACCAGAACTAACATGGAACCGTTGACGAGCACCTGCGCTGCATTATAAACCAATAAGACATTCTTCAATTCGTATGCTTTGCGATTTTCCATTAATTTCGGTCCTAGATGTTTGACGAACACATAATAGGCCACAACAGTGAGACATAATTTCAGTGGACCAAGCAGAAAATAGTTTTCCGAACGTTGATCTGTAATTTAAGGTGAAAAAAATTCAATTTTCGGTATCTATTTAGTGAAATATGCTAAAAAAAATATAATATCGGAGTTGGGTGAAAAAGCAACCATGCAGTATGAACGATAAACAGGGTTGTATTCAGAAATTTCCGTTAAATAATTTTGAAAATAAACTCAGTTAAGTTCATTCCACTGGAGTCAAAATTTGAAAATTTCTTACCTCGATATTTATCATCGAATTCTCGAAAATGTTCCCAAATCAGTTTCAGTATAAGAAACATTTTTCAATAATATTTTATTTTTATTTTTGGACTTTTAGAGTGCAGACAAAACAATTTCACTGAACCTGTCTGCCCAGTTGACGAAACTAAAATAATCGCATAAAAGAAAGTGTATGGGAGGCCAATAAAATGAATAACCCAAAAGTAACCCCTCATGTGTCCCCTTAGGTGTACATCATGAATAATTAACGCAAGCGTATATATGTATGTATGCTCTTACTCAAAGGTATTTATCTATGTACGCGTATATGCGCACGCTTCAGAAACGTTTTATGCTAAAATTTGGCTGCATAAATAATACTAAACAAAAATGTTTATAAATGAGTATGAGTATGCATGAGTGAGTGGGCATTGATTCGATAATTGAACCATTGCTTCGTAAATGTAGGATTAGTGATGTTTTTGAAATAATTAAAAATAAATGTATTTAAAACTAAAATAAAATTTAAATTCTCAACAAAATTATATGAATGAAAGGGTATATACATATGTATGTATATGTATACTAAATATATATGTATATGTATATTTTATATAGATGTATAAATATTTATGAATATTCACCGCCACATGCAAGTCATTTATATACAGGGCTATCCATTTTGAAATAGTATTATCATTATCATTTGGACCTATAGTTCATACTAAGCCGCCTGGGAACGGCCGAGGGATTTTTTTATGAGGAGATATAATTACAAAAAGTAATGTTCTATAATTTTAGATGTTAGTGGGAAAAGTGCTGGTCTTCCAAATGGTAGTACCCAATAGTTGCGGCAGAAAGAGTACATTTTTCATTTACTTTGTAACTATTTTTCAATCACAAATTTATTCCTTTTTCATACAGCGCAATTATTGAAGAATACTTTTTTTGAAAAATTAGTACAGAAGTTTACTTATCATATTTCAAATAGGAAAGTAAAGCTGTCTCTCTAACGCCTTAAAATTCTTACCGCTGGGTGAAATACTCAGCTCATGAATGATCGTACGAAATCATGCCCTACGATTGGAACGTTAGTATACTCTGCTCAATCGACAAAAAAAAAAAGAAAAGTCCCCAGTCCAGTCGTGGGTTAAACCTTCTCAATATCATGTCATAAGGTTCAATCGAGCTCATTTTATATCAGAGTAAAGTCCGCCGCTAACGCACTGATTGGAAGTAATCAACGTAGCTTTAGTCGTGTAAATTTATCGTTTTTATTTTTAATCGATTTTAAAACAGCTTCCGATAACACGTAAAAAATCTGCTTATCCAACGTTAAGCCTGAATTTTGTGTCACTGAAAAACTAATTACTTTTTATTATTTAATTAAATATTGAAAAAAATTATAAAAGCTGCAATATTTTAACTATGAGAGCGACTGAAGACATACGTAGTTGATGTTAATATTAATGCCCTCATCAACCGAGTCTGGTAGTGAACGAGGAGAATACAAAATATCTCTTGTCTTAAAACCAAAAATCTGCGCATTCCGGTCTTGGCTACCATGCCATGGTTGGTACTCATAGCTTTAAGGTTGTAGACAATTTAAAGCAATCCAGAATTACTCTCGCCAACAGGTGCTACTATGGACTGAGTACAAAAAAAAATATAGTTCTCTCTCGACGAATAAGTTCGAAACTCGAAAACAAGTCGTTCATCATTCCCGTCGTGTTGTTTGCCCTGCATAAACGTGGACAATATTGAAATTCGATTAGTCGGCAGAAGTAGCATTCCAGAGAACGGTTTTGCGACGGTAAATATTGCAGACGATGGAATGATGACTATTATGAGATATGCGACGATCTACTACGATGGCTAGGTAATCCGAATAGTAGAAAAGAGTACCACTTTGAAGGCATCCGATGCAGTATCCACTGGTGCAAACAGAGAGAGGAGAAGACCCTTGTTTAGATGTGAGTTAGAAGTGAGGAAGGAACTGCATTCTATTATGAAGCCTCACAAAATTCTGTCTTGTTATTATATCAGTTGTTACGAGGTGTGACAATTAAAAAATAAGACTGCTTCCATAAAAACCGTATATTTCAAAATTCTTCTACAACTCTGCCATCCGCTTCAAAGTAGTTCCCTTGGGCAGCTATACAACGATTCCAGCGCGTTTTCCATGCTTCGTAACATATCTGGAATGCTTTGACTGGCATGTCCGCGACTAACCTCGTCATGGCCGCCTGGATGTCTTCAATCGACTCAAATTTTGTTCCTTTGAACACCGATTTTGTTCCCTTTATAGGCCAAACACTGGGACACGCCGAGGACAGTATGGTATGGCGCGCTGTCGTAATGAAGGATCCAGTTAACTCGTTTTCCCAATCTTTCGTGTACGCTTTGCCCAGGTGGAAGAAATTCTTTGTGGACAATTCCACGGCTATTAAAAAGGCAGTAATCATCGTTTTCACCTTGGATTTAGTCATGCGAGGTTTTTTCGGGCGGTGGACGTGTGGTGACAACCATTGTGAGTTTTGCCGTTTGGTTTACGGATCGTATAGAAAAAACCAGCTCACATCGCTCTCATCATAAGTTTCCGAAGCTGTTTCGCCCTATTTGTCGCAAAATTTTATCGCGACGCGTTGCTCTTGATTTCGTCTTTCCATTTTCGTAACGAGCCCCACGAACACACGTTTACTCAACATGACACAGCAAGCGAAGTAACCCAGCTAGAGTGATGGTAAATATATCAATGGAGAGGAGAAGGATGCCGGGAGAAGAGAAAGCGAGTTTCAAGTTCGTAGGGTTACCACAATCACAGCAATATAATCAGTCTGATTAATTAATTGTCACACCGCGTATGGTGATGAACATCAGGAGGAAGAATTAAATGCTTTGAGCTTTTAACGGTTAAGGCGGTCATATCTGTTGTAACTGTAGTGCACGTGAATTCATTATAGCTGACATTACCATTTTTGTTAAAGCCCAGTTTTCAGAGATATCTTGTTATGAGCAGCGGTATACTCAAGTCTCTCCTCATCCTAGCTCTTCCGTCGCGCACTTCTTCGAGCACATGTTTTACTCCTCACATCACAGTCCTGATGTTTTGTTTCGAGAGCCACAGCCAATCTTACCGTGGCCGAGACATAAAGCTGTTCCAGTTGCTGAAAGATTTGTTACCATTCTTTTGGCTTGACATTCGGTGGCTTCCAGTATTGTAGTAAACTCTACTTGGTAGATGCTTAAAAGTCTAGCTGTCTAATTTGTATGTTGTTGTTGTTGTTGTTGTTGCAGTGGTTCGCTAACCCCGCTAAGGTTCTGGTTTGATTAACATAAGTTCCTGACTGAGAGCAACGGTGAATGTATACTACAATTACACTGTTCATCGAGTTTAGGGCCGTTCCATTACTCTTTTGCTGCCATCCGGGATTTTTGCGACGAGGGATAGTGAAAGGAAAAGTTAGAGTTGAACTTGTTCTATACTGTAGGAAATATTTACTTTGAAAAACGCTTTACTGAGGGGCAGTTTTTCCGGAACGAAATTTTTTCCTGAGGGGGAGTGTTTCCTGAGGGGAAGTGTTTCTCTACTTGACGCGGCACTTTTGTAGGTACTGTAAACCTGTAGCTCAATATTTTTGGAGACTTTTTTTATTTTTTTGACAGATGCATACGAACATAGACACAAACCATTTTTCTTGGTAAGCCAGAAACCATAAAAAAACAAACCCAAATTTCTTAAGAGAGAAAAAATACATTTTTTTTATTTATTTCAGATTCTTTTTAGATTTTAGATTTTTCAACACATAGTAGTAGTAACTTTATCAATACAACACAGTATTTATAATATACTTGTTTGTATGTATGTATGTATTTATAGTGTATACTTTTAGTAAAATTTTTTTAGCAGCTTGGAACTGCATGCCACATTGGGTTTTTGGTTTAGCTGCACTCTTTTCGATTTCAGTGTATTTCGAATGTGATTTCAACAGTAGTCAAGTTGCTTCAATTTAGGTACATATTTTCGAAACGGTACAGTTTATTTTTGTTTTTTTTTTTAGTTTTCCTTATTACACATGTAATACATATTAGATTGTACTTTACGAAATATGTATGTACATATATATAAAAAACAGTTATTCTTGTAAAATGGTAAACAAAATATAAAAGACATTTGGTTTAATACATATATGTACGTGTATGTATGTAAGTACGTTGGTATGCATGTGTATGGGGTCAGCTTAAAAATATGTAAGGATGTATGTAAGTAGGTACATGAGACATTTAATATTTGGCCACTTTCTTTGAATATATCATAATATATGTGTGTATATGCAAGTAAATATGTGTTATATTTATATTGTTTTGGTGCAAAAAATTGCATAAATGCCAAGTGTAGTGATTTTACATAAATTATGCCAGCTTTTTATTGTTCACATACAGTTATTGATTGTATAGTAAAAATTTAAATATAGAAAAAATCATATAAATACAATTTATTTCTGACAACTCAGTCTCTTTTAGTATTTATTTAGTGAAAATGTAGTTTAATATTTTATTTGAGAAGTAAATAAAGAAAAACATGTATCAGGTGTACCACTTTGCTTCCGCCGTTTTCTGATAGGTGGCTGTACCGGCTTTGGCTGGTTGAAATACATAGATGATAATGCCTTTAAAGTGAGTGTGGACAGTGCCTAACGAATTGTCATCGCCGTTTCAGTGACAGTTGTTCTTGTTTTCGTATTATTCACGCTCGAAAATGTCCGTTTATGTGTCTAATTCTCGCCATTTGCGGGAAGTTTTACTTTTCTGTTACAATTCGAAAAAAAGCAGCTGAAGCGCATCGAATGCTCTCAGAAACTTACGGCGATGCTGCTATGAGTAAAAGAAAGTGTCGGGAGTGGTTTCAACGTTTTAAAAATGGTGATTTCGATGTCGAAGACAAACATGGTGGTGGAAGAGAAAAAACCTTCAAAGATTTACTACGAGTTTTTAAAACCGGGTAAAACCATCACAGGAGGAAACGCTGAAATGGGAAGTCTTGCCCTACCCGCCATATTCCCCAGATGTCGCCCCTTCTTACTTCCACCTATTCCGTTCGATGGCACACGGCCTGGCAGATCAACATTTTCAATCCTTCGAAGAATTGGAAAAATGGATTGCTTCATGGATAGCATCAAAAGAGGACTCCTTTTTTCGATCCGCGAACCAGAAAGATGGGAGAAAGTTGTCGCTAGCGAAGGACAATACTTTGAATAATATATCTGTAAGCACTTTTTCGCAATAAAGCTTTTAATTTTGGAAAAAAACGGCAGAGCAAAGTTGTACACCTGATAATTTTTTTAATAATCCGATTTTACTACTCAAAACTGTACTTAAAAGGCCCATTTGCCGTTTTACATATAAATAATTGATTTTACAGAGTTTTCCAATAAGAGGTGTTATTTGTATATTCAAGGAAAAGATCAATGGTTTTGTTATTCGTAGCGCTGTCTTGTTGAAAATAAACGTTGTCCAATTGAATACCTTCCAATTCCGACTGTAAAAAATTATTGAACATCACTAGATGTCGCAATACATTCACCGTAACTGTTGCTCCAACCTTATTTTCGGTCTTATAACCGCGCCGGACCATAAATTGCACCATATCATAGCATACACGTTAAGTATGGAGTGGCTTTTCAACAATAAATCTAGAATACCATATGTGACATTTTTGCTTATTGGTGTAGCCATTGAGGTGGTCTTTCGATGAAATCCTGTGCATCTCGAAGAGCCAATCAGCAAAAACATGACATCTTCGATGATTGGCTGGCTTGAGTTCTTGTGTTAAGACCACAGTTTTTATGCAAAATACGGTGTAAGGAAGTTCCAATTCCAAATAACCACGAGGAGTCGACAAACCTGGGTTTTCTGCAACACTTCACAACGACAGCAGCAATATTCTAAGATGTTCTTGAGTGACGTGCACCTGTTTTACCCTTCATCACCCTTCACATCACTAACTTGATCCAACAACTTAGTTTTTTTCATCAATTTAATTATATGCTTCACGACGACCGAAAATTGTTTTCCTCCCACGAACCGTCTCTGTCAGTTTTCCACCATTTTTGTGGTGAATTTTATTAATTTCTATGCGTCGTTGAAGCGTCTGTCGTTCCATTTTTATTACTGACGTAGTTTTTACTTGTCAAATGTCAAAAAATTACCGTTATAAAAGTGACATCTACGCGAACAGCAGGCTATTCAAAATAGTACCTCTTATTGGAAAATATATAAATATTTTTAAGGAATTATGTAGTATATAAATTAGAATATTTGTAAATAGTTAATTATTGTAAATAAAATTACGTGCTGTACAAACATATTTACATTTTATAAAACATACGTGTATATAAGTGCAGTTAAGTGTAAAATTTCGAAAATATTTCAATATTCGAAGCATTTTATGTTTTGTTTTCATATTCGATTTATTTAGCCGTTCACTAAGTAATTTTGATTTGATGACAACAGCTGATCTTATTGAATTTTCTCGCAGCCAACTTCGCACTTAACTGCTTTACTATTATAAACAGCTGATGTAGTAAGATTCGTTTGTAAAAAAATTTGCTAAATAATTTCGTATATTTTTTGTTTGTTGCCCAATTGAAGATGGAATATCGCATCAAAATTTTTGGCACATTTTACTATTTTGCCACTACAAAAGTGTGGACAGAGAATATATCTTGAGCTGAACGGTAATGGCAAAATTGGCATCCGAAAATTTGGAACTTGAGGAAGACCTCTTGAAGTCGATGTGGATAAAATAAAGTCGTTGGTCGAAACAAATTAGGTAATAATAATAATTATTAATTAATAATTCGAGAGATTACTAAATTATTAAATTTGTCTAACGCGACCGTTCATTTGAAATGTCTAAGATTAATTTCGAAACTTGACATAAGGGTTCCTTGTGTTCTTACAGCCCAAAATTTGCTTGGCCTCATTAAGGACTGTGATTTCCTTATCAAAATATCGAAAAAATTGTCCAGAAGTTTGCGCATAATTTAATAAAATGATTTACACAAAAAAAATCATGGTTAATTTGGTCTAAAGAATCCAAATTACTTAGTGAATGGTTCAATAATATTCTTAATATTTTATAATTTTAAATTAAATATTATTTTTCTTATTTATTTTCTTTAATTATTTTTTTCCTTAATTTTTTTATACTTTTTGCTGCAAACTTTGTGTATGATATTAATAAAATAAAATAAAATTTTAAATATTGTTGTAATTACATTTTTATAAAACTTGGTTGATATCGAGGGATACAGAGTGTATATACATACAAACATATGTATGGTACAGTAATTTCATAAATTCATTTGTTCTGTGATATGAAAATGACAAGTTTTGAATTTCTCTTAACCACAACAATATATTTTGATATATTTTTCAGATTCACAGTTTCTTCAGCGAAATAAATTCTTTCCATAGATTTTTATATTTGTGGTTTATATCTTAATTCAGTTTCAAATTCAAATTGAAAATATTATTATAATTATAATTATAAATAAAATTAGAATAAAGTCCAAAATTATAATTAATTATAATTATAATTATATGAACTAAAATTGAAATAATAATAAAAATTAAAATTAAAATAATAATAAAAATAATTTGAAATTTAATTTTAATTTTCATTTTAATTTCAATTTTTATTATTATTTCAATTTTAGTTCATATAATTATAATTATTATTTAAATTTAATTTTAATTTTAATTTTAATTTTAATTTTAATTTTAATTTTAATTTTAATTTTAATTTTAATTTTAATTTTAATTTTATTTTTAATTTTAATTTTAATTTTAATTTTAATTTTAATTTTATTTTTAATTTTAATTTTAATTTTAATTTTAATTTTAATTTTAATTTTAATTTTAATTTTAATTTTAATTTTAATATTAATTTTAATTTTAATTTTAAATTTAAATTTAAATTGAAAACGAAATTAAAATAAATTAATATGAAAACTTTTCGCTTTTTCAAAATTGTACTTATGTATAAATTATACTTTAACTTTCTGGAGAAAAATACTATATTTTTTAAAATAGCGAGAGCTCTACATATACATATAAACAGTTGTATAGTGTGATTGAATTTTTCTATTTTCTATTATTAATTTTCGCTACCAATGTTTTGCTTTCAATTTCAATATTTTTTTTTTTTTTTTTCAATTTTCTCTAATAGTATAATTTAACAAATATTTACTAAATTCCTTTTTGATTGTTAGTGGTTCATATTGTAATTGATTTTAGGTATACATGCATGCACAGCATTTGCCTAATGCTAAACTTTTTTCTTTTCTAGGGATTTGTATTTTACATATTTTTTTTACAATAAAAATAAAGTTTTTTTGTTCAAAAGTAAATTTTTGTATTTTTTAAAATTATTTTCTTACTTTTTTTAAATTAATATATTCTGTAAATATTATTGAAAATTTAGAGAAATGAAATGTTATATTTTTAATGACAAAAACGATATTTTTAAATAATTTTTTTTATATAATGTAAAGCCAAGAAAAAATGTATTTTCTAAAATTCAAGTAAACAATTTTTAAAATTACTCTCTTCATGTATATTTTTTACTAATATTTTAAATATTTGTTTTTTGTTTTAACAACAGAAAATTGTCACTTAATTTATATTAAATGTTTATCAGTTTATAGAAATAATATTTTGGATTTTTTTGTTGCATTTTTGGGTACAATTTTTAATTTTTTGTTAAATTGCAACAAATTCAATTGCCATTTTCATAGTCATTTAATAGAATATTTCATCAATTTTTCTATAATCTAAAAGTTCAATTTCAAACATTTTCACCGTTTGAAAATAAATGATTTTCAACTTTATTTTACTGAATTTTCGTGCTACTTTCTAAATTTATGAACAATTTTTTTTATTTTTTTATTTTTGTTTTTTTTTTTGTCATTTTTGTAGCTTTGTAGTATTATTTCGTCATCCTTTTATTACTACTTTTTTTCTTACTTTCTTCATTTCTTTTATTATCTGTACTTCTGGAAGCTTCCTTCAAATTGGCCCTTCATTTCTTTGGTTTGTAAATAGTTTTTTTTTTTTTTGTTACTCATTTTCATGCATGTGCATTAAATAAATATACGTATGTATGATGTTTGCAACTGTGCAGTTCATATTTCTCAAAACGAGCACAATAAAAAATTTATTTATTTTCGATTATCATTTGCAATTGTAAAACAAAACTGCGCGCCAATTGGAGTACCGCCGGAGCATTGTGACGCTCTGCCATTTCTGAGAGAAGAACAATCAAAAATAATTAAAAGAAAAATATATAATTTCTAATCTAAAATTTTTAATTAAAATTTTTAAATACTTTTGATTCAATTTTTAATTAATTATTTATTTATTTTTTTCATTCTAAATTTTTGATTTTTAATACTCAAAGTTTAATATTTGAAATTTTAACTCACCATTGAAAAACTTGATGACATCAGTAAAATCCATGCTATTCGACAGTATTATATCGCGATACGTTTCCAGCAACGCCAAAGCGAGGAAGAGCACAAAATGACTGGAAGCAACATGCTTAGCTGCCCAAATGACTTCCCAAGTCGCGAAGACATCATCATAAACTAGCTCCCGCTTGAAATCCAACAAAAACCAGCGATAACAGAAATAGAAATGTGTATAATCGCCATTTGAATCCATTAAATCGTACATTTCTGAGTCCAATATTTGTATGAGAGAACTAGATGGTGAGAGAAAAAGATATTATAATTGAGAAAGAATTATATATTTTTTTTTAATATAACTAATTTGTTCTCACCGCATATTCGCGAAATGCATATCCATGGCACCGCCATTCGGAAAATTCTCTATCATGCGTTCCATTAGCTTACAAAAACAACTATAACAGAGTGACTCATCATCAAATATCACCAGCAAGGGCGCAACCAAATCACACATGCCCTGCATATAACCGATATCCAAGTGCTCCCACACATAGCTGGTTTAGAGAGAAAAAAGTTTTATCGAATTTTAAATTATTTATATTCAAATAATATTTAATTCTAAATATGACGATAGAAATGATAGAAATTCCGCACTTACGTCGATATAACATTCCTGAGTTTATCCAAATTCTCATTAGCAAAATACCAATAATTGCGATCGCAGCGTTGCACATCCTTCTCTATGCGATGCAAATTTAGGCCGAATTGTTCCAGCAATTCGCTCTGTAAGATAAAATTGAAACAGTGTTATCAAGAATTGAGCGAAAGGGAAAGATAGAGGAGCGAGAGAATGCAGCAAAGAACTTGTAATAAGTAAAAAAGTTTGAGTTTGAAATTGATGCAACTGACTTTTACGATGCACCGTAGCTGGCACGGATTTCATCCGACAAAGCGTTGGCTCCCTTTCAGCGACCTAACTCCTTTAGGTCAGCAGGTAACATTAGTGTAACTGCATCCCAGCTGAAATGTCCTTCTCATCAGGGCCGACGTGAAACCCAAACCTGGTTCGACGGATTACTGCCGCTACGTGTGCCATAAAGAACTTCCATTTTGGTAAGTGAGAATAGTTGAGTTCCGCTACGGACTTCAAACACATAGGAAGTGATCTAGGCATGCAGTGGCCCCGTTCTGATAGTGCCCAACTGCACCCAAACCTTCATAGCAGTGTCTTCTGCACTCATACGCACTCTGGGTAACTATCCTAGACCTCCCACGAAGCTCCTCGCAGTTTGATTCCCATCGAAACCTCCAATTAACGAGCATGATGCTGTGCAGTGCAGGCAATACCTGCTGGAATGCTATCGCAGAAAGCACACCAACAGAAACATAGCAAAAACCGAACCTTCAAATGGACACATCAGGAAGGGAATACTCGACTTTAAGGACCTTATGCGACATTCACCGAGACTTCGTCGAACTCCCTTCCAGTAAATGGTGTTCTGGATGAGACGAAGAGCTCGAGCTCTCTCAGTGGCTCCGCGTAATAACGCCGTAATTATGATGTTGATACTGTAGTCGACTGAATTTTAATCTAATCAGACCCCGACTTACCTAAAGAGTCCGCACGCGACACAAACCCCCTTTTTGCATGCCCCTCTGGTTCGAATACGACAAAACAACGCGTTTCCTGAGCCTCTTACCCTTGGTGACTTGGACTGGCCTTGCCTGCTCTTAAGCAGAATTGGACTTGCCAGACGCTTCTAACTCTCAACCATAAAATTGAATACAACCGTTAAGGTAATAAAGGTATTTAAATAATAATAATAATAATAATAATAATAATAATAATAAAAAATATTTTCTTACACTATAAACACCACCATTCGAACTCGCTGGTGACACGCAAGCCGATTTCGGTTCATGTAAAGCATCCATAATAGTATTTGCGCCAGCTGCGTTAACTTCAGCATGTGCTTCTAACGATCCTTGTTCTACTAAAGCCGACATTTGTCCACCATCAGTTTTAACACCGGGCAACCAATTTGCTACATCTACCGAAGCATTAGTTACAATAACAGCCGAGGGTCGACCAGCAACATTCGCCTCAACTGTTGGCAATTCACACTGCTCTTCTGCAATCACCGTTGACTCATCGCCCACCAGTTGCGCTGGCAAATCATCAGCACTCAAAAACTCTGGACTGAGCACACTTTTCTCCGGTTCGTCGGTTGAGTTCAAATTAGCCGATATGGATATATGCAGGTTGAGATCTGTATAGCCGAAACCCGCACCGACAGTTTCATATGAAGATGACGATGGTGAGGTCTTATCACTTTGTCCGCGTAGCGCACTCTCTTCCGTTTCTTCCGCCGATATTTGTTCGCTTTTAGTACTTTGATACGAAGAGATTTCATTGACGCCTGCATCAATGAATGAGTTTGTCGCTAAAGCATCGCTCGTTTGTGTTGTTAAATCGTTTTTCTCTGCTAGTGCGATTTCTCCATCATCATTATCATTCTCATCCTCTTCCTCCTCCATTGTTTCGTCTACATTACCCGAGTCTGTGCTGGTTTTCATAGCGCGTGGTATCGGCTTTACCGTCAAGTAGTTTTGTGTATTACCCACCACCGCATCATTTTGTGCCTGCCGTTGTTGCTCTTCATCGTACTCGAGCTCACCCGGATCCGAAATATCAGATATATCTTCGAATACCTCATTCTCTAAGTCACCCGTATCAATGTCTGCTGCACGCACGGTCTTATCATTGCCACTATTACTGCCCGAACTCAATTTGGCTACAGCGCGTGCCGTCTTCTCTTTCTCTCGCTGCTGCACAATCGCATCCACTGCTAACCATTCGCTCATTGTTGTCTCGTAGTAATGCTTACAGGTCTCATCTTGATTCCGTCGTTCTTCGGGTGTGGTGCCGAAACTGTTGGCGAAAGTAATTTGAATTTTTGCACTAAACGCGGTACTCTTTCAAACAACTCACCTATAATGCCCGAGTAGATAGGGCCACACATCCTTACGCAAGCCAGGGCACACGCCACCAAAGTACACCAGACGATAGACATCGATTTCATTTGACACCACACCGTTGACGTTTAATGCATCCCAGCGTTCTTTTGTCAAACCCTCCTCGTCAGCTTTCACTTTTTGAATATAAAAGTTTTGGTTTTGAAAGTAAAAAATTTCGTGTTGTTTTTTTTTTAACTTACATTCCGGTGTTATACGTCCATTTACCAGCCCCGATAGATGTGTGCGTACCGTTGATAAATGCCGGCAGTAAGCGAGCCAACCGTAAAAGGCGCGTGATATTATCTGCCGTCTCATTGTGGAACAAACCATTTCAATGCTCGTATTTTGCTTCGTCTGAACCTATGAATAGAGCGAGAAAGGACGACTTAGAATATCAAAATAGTACGATAGTTCATTGCTCCGTTGAAATGGACCGAAATAAAGGAGGGAGGATCTCTTAAATGGAGGTGAAGTTATAGTGAATGTTCCATAGCAGTATCTTTGGACATTTATAGACGTTAGGGTACCAGAGGTCAAGTTGATCCAGGTTTTCAAAGTTTCATCCAGGTTAGAGAAGACCAAGTTCATTATATATAAGTGTAATGTGTACAACTAGGTGCCTTACCAGTGGGGACTCCAATGGATGCTGATCAATGGAAATACTTTTGCTCGAGCAATCACTTGAACCAGTTGTCGAGCAGCTGCTCAGTTGCGCACGTCTTGGCGTGCTGCGCACAAAGTCCAAAATTGAATGAGTAGCAGCTATTGAACCAATGAAATAGAAGAAATATTACAAGCCAACAGAGTATTGGGATCAAATGTGCACTCACCAAATTCCTCATGTTTACTTTTGCTCACAATACGAAATACATAATCAATCGGGGTCTCATCAAATGACTCCATAACCGAAGGTAAAATACGCCGGCGTACACTTTTCGGCCATGGAAATATTTTGCCAATACCACGTTGTGACCAAAGCGGTGGATCCAATTGGCCATGCGGCAACAAGCCCGTCTCCAAGCAGCTTAGGAACTGTTGCATGTGTCCACCTTCGGGAAAATGTATCGGCGGACGTTGTACGCCATCTTGTCCGACAAGCACTACAATACCACCGCTGTCCTCGCCACGATTCTGATGGCAATGTACATAAACGATTTCATCAACATTAATATTAAGCGCGTAGGCCCAGTAGGATTCTTTATCCTGCTCTTCGGCTTCTTCTTCCTCCTCCTCATTGTAACCGTTCATCAACTGATTCGGTGTCCATTTAATGATCAGCGTCTGTACGTGTTGATGTAGGCTCAAATACCCGGGCATTTTCTCATTAACGTCTTTCTGTTTAGCCAATTTAGATGAAAGAATGAAAGAGAGAGAGAGAGAGAGAGAAAGAGAGAGAGGAAGCAGTAATGAGTTTACACTCTTCGGTGGGATAAGAGAATTTAACTTACCGGCACCACACATACATTATTCTTGCCATACAACAGTGTTGCTCTGGAATTCTGATGCAGCGACTCGACATAATCCTTTGCCACTGTGGTGGAGGCTATAGACTTAAAGCCAGCGCCGGTGGTACACTCATCTGTGCTGGTATTAAGACTGCGTTTGAAATTCAGTATCGGTGCTCTTGAGCAAGTTGAGGAGGATCGTCGTCCTGAGCTTATGCGATGACGTTTGACCTTTGTGATCGCAGAATGATAGAATTTAATAATAGAGTACTTAATTAAAACAGGAAATCTTGTTTTCAATTTTGATATCTCACCAATTCATCGGCATGCGGGTCTGTCCAGTAGTGATCGGCAGTTTTGACTCTCGTAAACTCCAGTGCACACGGCCCAACTAGAAGTGAGCTTAATATTGAACCATAATCTGAGTCTGCTACGAGCGAATCACGATCATAATATGTGTTGGCGTTCGCCACTAAGTATTCAATTATTTTGGCGAGCTTCTTTTCGAATAGAGACAAACGGATCCAAAGATACCTAGAAGCGTAGAAGAAAAAGTTAAGGCCTCAGTTTTAGTATGATTTATTTGCTGGGAGAACCCAACCCAAAGCTGTTTGATCTGGTTAAATTCCTTTTCGATTCCCTAGCTGACATTTTAACTTCTACGGATGTACTTGCAAATTTCGGAAAGCTGAAAGATTACAGTCTGTGAATCCAGGGTTTCATGTGCAAGGTAAAACTTAAACTGTAAAGGACACTGCGCCTCATAAGCTACTGGTTTTAAGCACCTAGCTGCAAGCGGAGCTCAAGAAAAGATCTTAACCAAACATTGAATTCCTGGAGGCTGATTAGAACTGGCTGTTTATTACTATAGGTATGCTCCTTGGTCTTTCTGCATTAAATGTTTGAAATTCGAAAAAAAAAATCTTCTTGAGGCTCGGGCTAGCTGATCCCTTTATTTCTGCTTACCGAACGAGGTTCGGAGCACCGAAACAGACGTACCGTCAACATGTTCGTGAACTCTCTGCGAATGAGTGACGTTTTGGGAGTCGAACCATTACCACTTGTAGACGAAGAGCTTGAAACTCCTCTAGGGTCTCGCATAATACTGTCACCACTTAGATCTGGTTATTATAATAGCCTAAACTCCTAACTATCCAGACGTAACTCTGACATTCCCCACTTATGTTTCGCAAGGAAAGAGTCTCATCCAACCCTTCTTTCTCTCTGGTCCGAACCAGTCGAAACAACTCATTTCCTGGATCTTCCGTTAGATGACCTCGATGACTCGCTGACTTAGACTTGCTTGCCTTGTAGCAGGGTTGGACTTGCCGCTACCACAATAACAACAACAACAACAACAACAACAAGAAGAGATGTACCGTAAAGGAAACCTCCAACCTCATATATGTAAGCCGATCTTGCTTAACATTTTGCTGCCTTTACAGAGATTAGAGGCAAAGAAAAACTTACCACGTTCTTCCCTTAAAACACCCCCATACTCACTTCATTGACGCCAAAGCCAAATTGGTGCCACTCAAGCTCATCGTTGTCACCGAAGTACTGCTACCCTTCTTTAACATCGGTGGTCGATTCACACTGTCGCTGCTCGACGACGAGCGTTTACTCGGATCGGCTGCTTCAATTTCCAAAACTTTCTTACTAATGTACTCGGCATCCTCACAGGATTTGGCAATTTTATGTAACAGAGCTGTGGTGGAGGAGGTTTTAAACAAACCCAAAGCACGTCGACGCAAACCCTGACTCAAGCAAGCTTCGACGGCGGCACATAACTGAGTGACGGAACTACTCTCTTCGTGTATATATTTCTTGGTGACAGCCTCTTCCATTAATTGTTTGACCTCCTTTTTAACAGCGGCGATAAGACGCTCTTTGAGGGCTACTTCTGGATGGAGAGGAAGAGAAGATAGGCAAAAAAAATTAGAAAGGGATGAGTAAATAATTAAAATAATATATAAAATAATATTTTAAATAGGGAGGAGGGAGAGAGAGAGATAGAGAGAATGGGTGTACTAGATGTCAGAAAATTATCTTTAATTATTCTAAAACTTGAGACGATGCTGACAAGTGTTTTGAGAGTAAGCAAATTTCGCTACACTTTATTCCCCAACAAACTATTCTCTCACAAACCACAACTCAACGCGTATATACACGTGTACGTAGGTATGAATTGATATTTATACAGCCCGACCATAATGGCGTGTGCGCTCGTATAATATTTATGATTGAAATCACATAAAATTCCACCATTACCAACGACATAAATGCTGTTAGCGTTAATGTGTATGAGCGAGATGACGTCCGTCGGTCGGCCCTTGGTGCTGAATCAAACTAAAAACAAATAACTTACATACCTTCGACTTTCATCTACTCACAAGGCAGTCCACAATATGAGTGAAGTGAGGAAAAAATAAGAAAGCAACTAAATCAACAAAAACAACAGAGTGTTCCATAAAAACCAGCTGTTTGCTTGACGCGACACAAACACGCTAAATGTCGGTGCACACTAGAGATGTAACGAACTAGGGATCTCGGTACCGCAATGTGAAAGACTAGTGATGAATTTTCAAGGTCTAAAAAGTTGGTTTGTAAGACTGTCTTTTGACAATGGTTAAAGGAAACTCTGTGCCCAAGAGTCTGTCTCTTTTTAATGCAGAAAGCTGAACTTGAATGCAGTACCAACAAACTTAACATCTTTTCGCCAGCTTCAGTACGATTTTTTTTCCAATTTGCACCAACTTCGCTTTAACTTGCCTCTCTGCGAAAAAAAATCCTAACATTCAGCTGATTTTACATATCAAAATCTTACAACGGTAACAATAAAACAAACTTTCTCTCTCACAACTCCGGCAACATTTGACTTAGAGCGTATGGTTTCGGTTTGACTTCGAGTCGGCGTTTCGCATTTCACTACAAAAGGCTTTCCCCATAGACAAAGATATATATGATTGAGATTCCGAAAGGTAGAGGCTCCTCCAGCACTACCAAATGGGACTTTCACTTTAATGCAGCGGTTTTAAAAATGTCACTCAAACCTCGATTCCTGAAGCAGAGCGGTGAACACGAACTCAGCCTCAGAAGGTAGGTATTTGGCACTACACCTCTCTCTGAGTCCACTTTCTTTTACAGATTTCATTTCTAACTCCGGTTCCGTCATCTTTATACATCTCTAGCAACCCTGGTGCTCACACCTCACCTCACCTCACCTCACCTCATCCGGACGGAGCAACAAGTGGCTAACCAAAACGTGCATTGGTCGTTAATTGCTGACACATTACTCATAAAGTATGCTCATAAATATATATATATAGATATTGTACGACACTTTGAGGTATGTATGTTTGTGCCGAAAGTGTCACGAAACGGAGCAGCAAAATTAATGGAAACGAAATATTCTTACAGCACACTTACTTGCCTTCCGGTCATTTAGCTTAATTGCATTATTTTGAATCCATACTTTGTTGACTCAATTACAGTGATGAGTTGGTATATGCGCTGAGGGGTACACAAAGAGATTTCGTTTCGTTCACTTAGAAAGAGGCGTTGTAATTTGGCAACGGCTGGTAATACAAGGCGCTGAGCTCTCTAACTCTGAGTCACGCGCTCCACAAGGTTACACACTGATAGATCGCATCTTGCAAGAGGGAGCCATGGACTGTTGTGGGCTATAGTTTATTCCTTCTGCAATACGTGAATTTTCTCTTCCCCTTAGATGATTTCTCAAGAAAATCTATCGACTTCAAGCAAATTTTCATTGCAGAGAGCTCGGTAGCTCACGTATTGTTGGCTAAATGTGGAAACAGTAATAATTTCTAGGAAGGTCTTTCGCGGAGCCAATTTACTACGCTGCCTTTGACATTGGTTTTGAGTTAATTAGCGGAATATTGACTATTCACAGTAGCTATGTGGTGTACCTAAGTGAAAGCTCTAACGTGGATGGTTAAAAAAGTGTATAACACAAGCCTGGAAAGAGTTGAAAGTTCTAGTCACCTTTCTCTACCAAAGGCTTGGTCAAAGTGCAAGCTGCTGCCCATAAAAGTGACAAGGCAAATCGGTTCCTCGTAGTGAAACTAGCGGCGATTCAGAGAAATGTGGTGTTACCGGGGTATGTGCAAGAGATGCCATCAACCTGTAAATCAATATAAAAAAGAGATCTAGTACATTCCAGCGACTCTACCTAAGAACACACCGAACACAGTTCCTTAATGTGATATCAATTCCTGCGAACAAAACGCGCTTGCTAGGGGAGTGTATGAAGTCCCAATCTGCGACCTAAGTTGGCTATCGACGTTCCCTATAGTAATAGAAACAGCCTCTTGAGCGGAATTTTTCATAGAGCTCATATCAGTCAGCCAAAGTAATGTATATGTACAACAACAAAAGAGTGTTGCATTTCAAATAAAAAAATAACAAGTCTTACTACCGTCACAGCTCGTCAGACACATTCAGTCAATTGTACAACGACCCTGCACTCACTCACATGTATTTATATGCAATACCCTGATGACTGTGATTTTACTTCATCCACACTTAGGTCTACAGCCCTTCCTTTCTTCGTACCAATGTGCAAAGTGCGCTTATCACGCGGTTGGCGTTTTGGAGACGCTCGTCTGCCGGTTTACACGTCAATTGCCTTATCCTCCCTCATAGTCAACGCCAGCACACCACACAAAAATGGCACAATAACCTTCGCCGGCTTTTGCTTTCCTATCCACTTGCGACATTGACGAACACTGTGCCGTGCATCGAATGAGAACAATGTGATGGTGGCGCCAACACACACTGGGTGGGTTAATGTAAATACGACGTGGTATACCTACAGACGGCATACAAATGAACGAGTACTTAATGCTTGTGTAATGTTTACAAAAACACGTGCCTCCAGCCGACAAATTGTTGCTGGCCTTGTTATTGTTATTGTGGTTAATGTTATGGTATCATCTTTAAAAATATGCAAACTTCTTTGAGGTAAAAAAAAAAACTCGAGTTATTGTGTTTATGGTTATTTATTGCGCAGTAAATGGGCTTTAGCCTGCTTAGTTCGAGGCAACTCAGGTGTCTAGTGCCTTGAATATTTAATGTGGTGTGTACCTTTGAAGTGAGACAATGAATTTTGCACTGTGTGCTTTGAGTAGTTAGACATGTAGTCGAAACGACTTTTCTCGAATTTGTTTACGTGTCCTCAGGAGCAAGCCCGACTAATATATATTTGCTCTGTTCGATTTCAGCGGGCACGAGGGTTTTGATAATAAAATGGATACAGTTTGGTTTTGATGTGGTTTGGGTTTGAAGTCTACTTGCGTGAAATTCTTTCAAAAAAAGATGAGGACCCTGACTTCTTCACAGTTAACTCAAAAGGAACCTGCACCGTTTAGTCCCCAGCTATGATTCATAGGTCTCAACAGTGCTGATCCCGTACCTACTGAGCAATATAATAAGCATGTTTCAGCTCTAACTATCCATTGGAGAGATGCATTTATTGAGCTCATACCGAAGGCGTGCAACTGTAGTCCTCCTTATTCGGATGAATGCTGGCCAATAGATTTAGCCTCATTGCTCCTCATAAAAAAAACATCAGCCGTTCGGAGGTGGCTTAGTATAAATTATAGGTCTCTTCATTTCGTTGGGAAATATCAAGACGCAAAACCACAAATTGGAGCAGGAGCTCGGCGGAAAATCGCTTCAGTGTTTACTCTAGTAAGTTGTTTGTGAGTTCAGTGTGGAGGAGAGGGCGAAGAACAACCATGTACAAATATGCAAGTTTCTAAGTGCAGCCCATCGTTCGGCTCCATTCATTGATATTACAGGCAACCAACCGCCGGAAACCCTAGAGAAAAATCAGCATATACGTTTGTGGACACGCATACAAAAATTGACCTTAAACTTAAGGAGGTAATGGGGGAAAAAGTACAAGAGATTGCAAAAACTACCATTCGCCTGGTGGCCGAAGCAGTGAAATAAAGCACGAAAGTCAGTAAGGATGCTCGAGGAAAAAATTACTAATAGATCTGGGAGCTTGATCAGGATGAGTTGGAATAGCTTAACGACTTGCAAGCCCATTAAGACCAAGTGCTATTACAGCAATGGAAAGCACGGTCAATTCTTACTCATACGGGCTTTTAAGACTACAGAACAGACAGCTGTAGGCATTACTAAAAGGAAATGTTAGAGATGGAAGCGAGTATTTCGGTGTAAACCTACTACTCGTGCAGTAACAATTCTTCTCCACTTTTACGTGTACCTTTATACCAACTGCACGAAAGTCTAATAATCATAGTTTCCTTGGGCTCCACTGGGAATTTCAATAAATCATTTAAGCTTTTATATCTACAGTGTCCAGATTATATGATTTGGGTTTAAAAGTAAGAACTTCGACAGATGGAGTTGCTTGTTTAATAAAAAGCTTACAAGATAGATTCCTTCCGCTACCCATAATTCATTAGACAGTGAACTAAGACGTAAGACACGCCCACTCGCCCTTTTTACAGGAAGAGAACACCCATCTTGAACAAGATTATCATATTCTAAGGTTTCCACTATCATCCAGCATAATCACTTCTCTGGTAATGTGAACCCTTTCTAGTGCAGTCGGAGTGCAGAAATCGAGTGCCGAAGACGCCCTATAATACAATAGATGAAGAGACTTTCAGCCGAGGCGGTTTGAGGCGTCGATTTTTCTACAAACGGAATGCAGGGACCTACAGTATAGTCTAAGGCGCCTCAGGACGCTTGAAAGCTTTTATGATGAACAGACATTTAACCTCGTCTGTCCGGTGGAAGAGGATTACATTCCTTGCAGAAGGTCGACCTTTGAAATTACCTTCCGCGCTGTTAAACAGTCTCTAATTTCTTGATAAATTTTTGTCAACTGACAAGTGAGCCAGT